GCTAGTTCCTTAATACTTAAAGGTCAGAATTCAACAGGCCCAGGTGAGGATAGTGAAGGGCCTTGAGCTCTGGGCACTAGTGATTCTGGTAGGGTGGATGGTAAGGGCTGTGTGATCTTTGAAGCAAGTTACCTGCTGAGGCAATTGTTGTGAATTTAAGTGGATTTAGAACTGCCTTCAATTTTCACCTTCTCCTAAATAGAGCTTTCTGTAGTATGCTCTATTCCATGGGACATAACAGGATTTTGGCAATGCTAGGTTGAACAAAGTTAAACACGCTTCACTGCAAGATTCTTTGTGACTTTCAGTATGGTAATAACCCTTTAAGAGAAAGGCAGGATGGATCATTTCCTAAACTTACTTGGCTCAGAAGTCTTTCTGGTGAAGCATCTTATGGAACTCAGTTTTTCAGAATACACTTTCAAAAACACAATATTAACACATCCACTGCATTGATGAAGTAAAAAGTGTAAATCAGCTTAAATCCTTTTAATGACAGCCATTGTCCCAAGGCTATAGTTTAAACTTTGGGGTGGCTTTGAACAACCTGATTCCTGCTTATCTCCCAGGTTCCTCTGCTTCATTTCTCATCCCACCCTCTCATACTCAATCCTCCAAGAGGGAACTACTGATTGTTTTTTTTTTTGAAAAGGATTCTTAGACCTCCAAGCATGTACTCTTCTTTCACTTGTACTCCATACTGGTCCCATCACTGCATCTACTGCCCTAATTTCAGTTGGCCATCATTGAGGTTGGAACCATATTTCATACATGTTGTGTTGTTTACCCAGTGACTACCCAGGGGCCTGGCACACAGAAGGACATACATATATTTGTGGAATTATTAAAATGATAGTTATTGCTGGACAGCTGGGAGTGCATCCCATAGCTGCTGAGTTCCTCTTGGGAAGGATATATAAAGGTTTGCTTACTCATATTTAAACAGCAGAGGGTACTTAAGCTACTTTGATGACTCTTTTAGGGTACAATTTTGAAGGCAATTCTATTGACTCATAGTATTAGGGAAACAGAAGTGGTACATAGACTGGAATTTCAACATAAAACTCTCTTTCTTGCCACTGGGACTCTAGACCCTATCAGATGGACATGGGAGGATGACAGAGAGTTGGCCTAAAGGACAGGGAACCTAGTTCAACTTTGTAAAACTAAGAACCGTGGCTTTGAGCCAGGATTGCAGGACAGCCTGGTGGGAATACTTACTCTTCAAATCCTTCTCTCTTTAGCATCCAGAAAGAGATCATTACAGTTGGGGAAGCAGCCATAGTAATTTCTTTCTCATCACTGCTATGACAGCTCAGATTTTTTGCCATTCAAGAGCAATAGCATGGACAATGTGTCTATAGCTCCTAAAGTTTTGCTTTGTAGCAAGCTCACATAAAAGACAAAGATTGTCATGCTGTTGGATCCTGGTAGTGAGAAGGAACTAACATTGCTAGATTTCTTTATATTTTCAAGGAGTTCTTTAGTATGGTGACCAAGAAAGTTGACAATCTTACAGAAATATATCATGAGACTCCAGAAGTAGCCAGCATGAAGGTCTCTTTCTTCTACAGTCACTGAAGTAGATTAACAACTCTAATTCAGGGTTACTGGCCTATGTTGCTTAAGACCCAAGTCTTGTTTACTTCCTGCTTCTTTGTGCTAGTTGCCCTGCACGAGTAGGATGGGGTTTTTGACCATGTGTCTGTCACAGTGAAGAATGGCACAGGTTGGTTTCTTGAAGACTCCTCTTGCCATCACATAACTTCACAGTACTTCCTTTCCCCATATCTTGGTCTTGGAACTTGCAGCTGCCATTCCCACCATCTTGAAGAGATAAAAGATGGGTGTCTGGGTGTGTGTGTATACATATCTATAACTGTTGATTGATTTTTCTTTTGGATATAGCCCACTCATGCACTAAAATCAGGCAGCAAAGTATACTGTGGTTGTATAAGAATATATGTCTGTAGTAAAGTCAGGAAGTGTGCTCACCCACCTGCTGGTTCCCCAAAGAGACGGATGCAAATTCTTGTGTATTTTTGGTTGGTCTTCCTGATAGGAGAGATAAATAGCTTGATGTGACTACATGGTGCTGCTATTGGTGTCATTGTTCCCCTCCAGAATGAGACACTCAATGACAAATTAAATTCTGAGTCACAGGAACAAGTTAGAGTGAGAATTCAAATCTCAAAACTGAAGAACCCAAAGTTTTAAGACCCTCAAATTTGTACCTTTTGTCAATCAAGTTGTAGTGTTACGTAGGTGATATAGGCAAGAGGGGTAGGAGCAGGATAAGAATTAAACTATAGTGAAGAGCGAGCAAAGTGAATGCAGAGTCACGGCTTCCCCTCTGTGGTGAAGCCACGCGCTTCCTGAGTTCATAGATATATTATTTAGTGAATATGTGAAAGAGTCCCAGGCTGCTTTGCTACCTGTTTTTCTTATAATTTTTTTTACATATTTTTAGAGTTTTAACAGACTTATTTACTATAGAACTAATTCAATTTAATTTTCTGATTGAGACGGGGGCAGGGACAGTTTTAATACAGAAGTTTGTATATTAATGAAGTAGCCCTCAAAAAGTGTAGTAACTTCAACAGAAGCTAGTCTTTCATGTTGGTTTTACTGCTCGAGGGTAGTCTTCCACTGTATAAAATAATATTTAGTTGCCCATTTTACCATATATTCCAGTGGATATTAAAAATATAGTTCACCCTATAGACCTGATTAATTGAAGAAAATATAGCGTCTTATTGCTGACATTATGAGGTTAGAAATAGCATCCTATGCTAATCTGCAATGCCAAGAAATGAAGATGGTTTAAATCAGATCTCATGACTAATGCATAAGATCCAAAGTTCTTTCATTCTTGGCTATTTTAGAAAACTGGGGTGTATTTTTACCCTAAAAACTAATTCTATGATATTTATTGAGATAATACAAAATGCCTTCTAATTAACAACTCACAATCAAGATTTGTGGTCTACTGATGATCACAGAATTTATAACAATTTCTCCAATTTAGTTTTTTCAAAATTGTGTATATGCAATGGTTTACGTACAGATTCAAGAGTATTTGATCCTTGGGTGTTGTTTTTGGATGCTCCATATCTGGAAAGATTATTTACTGTAATAAAATGGAAAGTTTAGATTGCTCTCTGCAGTTGCTAATGTGCATTTTAATTTATTTTTATTTATTGTGCATTCATTGAAATAGAAAAAAAATATATACAACAATAAAGGAGGCCTGTTATTTTTGCTTGTTTTTGTTTTGGTCATGACAAACTGTGAAATGCTGTGTTTTTCCTATAGTTCTCGGCCATGCAATCTTTCCACTTGATTTACGAAGGACTCTTAATTACTGCTGTCATTAGCACCTAGTGTTCAAAACAGTCTGTTAAAATGCACTGTTAGTCTCACCTCCAAGTTCTTGCTTGCTTTATTTTCATTTTTTCCAAGGGTAAGTAAAACCATAATTGCCTTAATAACAACAATCATTAATGTACAGTGAATTAAATAATATTACAGGTTTTTTCACGCTTTTTTGTGTTTATTTGGAATTCGGTATTTGTGTGTTAAGACTGGCCAAGGGGTTGAACAAGTGTCCATAAGCAGAGCAAGGACTACCTGGGTTTGACAAACAAGTCACTCATTTGCCATTTTCTTTCCACATGGATAGGGATGACAGACAACTGCTGTGAAGCTTCAGTGTTTCTGCCTGGTCATGCACAGTTCTGCAATATAATGCATAAATGTATAACAAC